TTGCAGCTGAAGATGATGGTTCGGTAAAACCATCGAAACTAGTCCTGTGAAAATTTTGTAAATTAACGCTGATTTTTGTTGTTTGACTTCTGAATTGTGTAATGTTGTTTATTCCCCCCGCCTTAGTCGCCAGTATTTCGTCCCACACCAACGGTACCCCATCGAGCATGCGCACTAAGCGAAATTCGTTAACACTGATCAACTCAATATGCGGTTTGCCATTACGCTACCTGGGAGGAGGCATCATCTCTCTTCTCTCATTGGCTCAAGAATGAATAGATGCCATTAAATGGTGTAATTTGCTCTCCCTTTGCAATATTAAATATGTTTATTAACAAATTTTAATTTTAATTTTCTGGTGTCTCATACTACGAATTTTTAAATGCTGTCATTTCTAGAACCTTCCTTTTACTGTAACTTGTGTTGCATTTTCCATGCGAAAAATACCATGTTATTATTACTGTCTCAAAACACGTCATGAAAGTAAGATGCGAAAATTACAATGGATGAAAATTTGGATGTTTATCAGAGGTATTGCCAGCAATACCTCTGATAATATTATTATTATTATTATTGCCCTTCCGCTACTTAATTCGAACACAATCACAAAGCAGTTGCAAAATACGATATATTTTCAAGATCAGTTCCTAACAGCAGCGTAGCTAGAGCTTCTGCCTCCTTTTTTTCTACGGTTAAAGAAATGGCATCGGAGAGAAAGTAAACTTAGGTGATGGTACAGGGAAAAAGGAAACAGAAAATGGTACATCGTTCTTTCGTCGTTGACTCTGAGAAGATATCCGAGCCGCAAGTTCACCAGACTATCAGATCAACTCTAAAAACTTATAAATGTCAGAATGATATACAGAATAATAAAATAAAACTCTCTGTTTATTGTTAGAGGAAAATTTCAATTCCAACATTCCAAAACGTAATTTCGCTTCCGTTCTGGTTTGGTTTATTTGATTATGTTTGTAAAATGACGGAAACCAACCATGTATCTAGGCCATTCCTCTATTTTAGAACAAACTGCAAAAGTTCAGAGTAGCTTATTTCCTGGCTTTCTCCCCACCAGTGACCGCCGGTTGTTAACACCGCTGTATACGTTCAACCGGGCTCGACTCAGGCGGACGGGCGAGGTGAATGGCAGATTTTAGTAATATTCATTTTCCCCGTATGTCACGTGAATACGAGTCAGTTTCTGTTAGAAAATTCTTCACAAAGGGCATACCTTTACTCAAGCAAATAGCTAATGTGAGCATTGCCATATTCATGTAATCGAACTGAACTGATTTCGTTTATCTTGGCATTATTTCTCTCTCAACGAGAAAATTTTCTTAACGTCATTGTGATGAAACATTAATTGACATTCGTATCTTGCAACCGAAATTTTTTAAGAATTAGAGAATTTTATCAAGGATATGAAGGGTCGAAATCTTCGATTTAGCATATCGTGTTTCTTCCGCGCACGATATGCTAATCAAAAATGCACAAAAAAAATAATAATATTGTTACAGATTTGGTATTTAAATAGCTAATGTTAGTGGAATTATAAATTAAATTGTTTTATTTCCCGTGCAGGGCAGCGCGTGACGAATATTAAAGGAAAGCTAAGCCGGGAAATTAAAAAATACAAGAGCGCGTGCTCTTGTATTTTTAATAAATAAAATAAATATCTCTTTTTGATTTAGAGAAAGTTCCAGAAAGTTCTCGCGTGTGATTTAAAATCTTATAAAAGTAGGAAAACGTATAAGTTCGTTGTTATTGGAGTTACTTAGTTTGTTGTTGTTTTAAGAGTTTGTTTAGAAAACTGCTCTTGTTGATTGTAGCGAATTCGCGGATTAGCTTTCTTTAACTAATATCTGAGGAAATTTAAGCATTATTTGTTGTGATAATAATAAATTTTGTTCCTTTTTCAATTTACTTGTGCATTCATTTCGTGGAACCCAGCAATATAATATTTCTTTAAATACTTCATAGTGCTTTCGTCTTCTTCAGCTTTCTCAAATAAGCAATACCTTTCATTAAAAATAAGAAGTGAATAATGATTATTCATTTGAATGATTAACTTGAATGAAGAATTGTTTCTTTAATCAGAAAATTATGTTTGCTGTTTCCCATTTAATCAAAATATGGTGTGTGTGTGTGTGTGTCTCCCTTTCCCTTAGTTCATATATTTCGAGATAACATCCAACAAGTTTTTGAATTTGTTTTTAAAATTTTGTGAAAGGTTAAATGTTTTGGTCCCGAGAAGCTGAAGCCGTCGATTTAAGTTTATATCCGGCATAGATGCTATTTTAACAATTTTGCAGCAACCAAGTTTCCCAGTTTTAAGCAGATTCAAAATTTATAATATAATTTTCGTGTCCCACTATTTATCCCAATTGAATCCCACTATCTTCCTCAGACCATGCCAGAGTTGAAAACTACCTTGCTACAGGAGTCAAATCGACTGCTACAGCGATTCTTCAACTGCCTCCTGTCCAGTGTGTCATCAAGCTGAGCGACCTGCGTGGCTGTGAGACGTGACCATACCCCATATTAGACTCATTTTCAATTCGACATCACAACCTGGAATTTGAACACCATGAACTTTACCGATGACATTACTGCTAAAATGAATTTTCAATGGTACGTCTCTTTCTCTGCTATAAATTAGACAAAATTTCCCTAAAAGCTCTCCATTAATTTTTCACAAACTCGACACAACGTGCAAATTCTCTAAATTTTGCGCACCATTGTATATATTGTAAAGCTGGAGGCTTTATACTTAGGTAACCATTAATCCGTCAATCTGTGATCGCGAAAATGGTTCTTTCCTTATGGGTAATATAATCGTGATTTAAGGCAATATATTAAAGAAAAATCAGTAAGGTTTCAGATTTTAAATTACGTCCAAAGGGGCGTTTTTTTAACGTTTTGTATCTTACCTATATTTATTAAATATCATGTTTCTGGCACCTAAACCATAAAACTCAGTTCGAGAGCAATATCGCAAAATAATTTTAAAATGGACATATCTTTACGATTACCGGTACACAGTCTCACCCGCTGAAGATAAAAATGTTTTTTTTTTTTTTTCGTACAATCTTGCCATTGCTCGCTTTGAAATCCTTGAATTTGTTAATAAAAAATGCATTAAAATTTTACAAAATACGAAATCGATAATAAACAAATTTCAAATTCTAATTAGGGCTTTCATATGCCCATATTCTATGACAGATTTCATTATTTAATTCCTTTAAATATAATACAGGGGTATAATATTTGGTGTCAACAATTCGAAAAGTGAAACAACGCTTATCGTGAATCGACGCAAAATTTCAAAACGAAAGCAATAGTCCTTCTAGGCAAATTGCGCCTTTGGATTAAAAAAAAAAAAAAAAAGGATAATTGAGGATATACACAGCTGAATAGTTTAATTTATAGGACGATTTCTTTCTTTCAATGCCGACGATTTGTTTCAAAACACTTCCTGATTTGCATATTGAGATATGAATTTATAAGAATATGAAGAATATGCGCCTCCAAACAATTTCCTCGGTGAAGATACTGGAGCTAACTTCCGACGACAAAATATGCTTCCGGGATTCGCTTTCGAATACTATAAAATATTTCTGTACATACAAAATATATCTCCTCAATAATTGCGATAATTTGTGAACAAAACAGAAAAACATATTTTATATACATTTAACTGACAGTCTGTACTTATTAGTTTGTGCTCTTGTCCTGAGATTTAAGATTAAGAAATAAAGCAATCTTATATTGACTAGATTTCAAATAAAATTTTTATGCCATGTTTGGTTAAGTCATTTCATTACAGCAAAGCACCAAAGGGCCATTTATCTGAGAGGCGGAATTCTTCATGAACGACATTCTAAGATAAAGTTCCTGTTTTCAGCGAGGCCATCTTAAGATCATTAAAGTATCTAAGCATTTAAAAGATTTTAAATATGTTGACATGTTTTTACCCCATTTTTTTCTTGGCTTTTCTGCGTCAGCTTTTGTTTAGCTGCAGCATGCATTTCCTGGTAAAACCGGCAATTTAAAATTTTGTGCTTCTTTTTCTGAAAACCTGAGGACGTTTTTGTGGTGTCCCTATCCGTTGATGCCATAAGCACATACATATATTGCATAATTTTTATTTAATCCTGCCCTGATTTTTAGTCTCAGACATGAGAAATCCACAAAGCACCAAACAGCCAGCCCTCCGCCGGAATTTCAATTCGGATCGAATTACCAATGTTTAGCGCTCTTAACCATTCAGTCATTAGTAGACTACTTCCACGTCAGGTTATGAGGTATTTCTCCCACTTCCCTAGCGTGCCTTCGTGGTGTAACGGTAGCACCCTGGGCCGGTATTCCAGAGGTAAAGCACACTAGGGCTATCTGCCTAAGGGGAGGGATGCCTTCGTGGAGGATTTTATAAGGGAAACTGGCTCGTATACACGTTACACATGGGGAAAACCACGAAAACACTCATGCAGCCAACCCGTTCGCGGGATTCGAACCTCGGACCAAACTACCAGTGTTTCAGCGACTTTACCGCTCAGCCGCTGGTGCGCTTATCCCAGTTCGAACTACTATAATTACTACTACGAATTACTAGTATTCAGCTATGTTTTTCACTCGGTCACTGCTGTGAAGAATCACGTGATGTCGAATTCTGATACAAATTTGAACTGAATTCTGAACAAAATTGAACTGAAAGGTGAGAATTGTTTCTGTATTGCATTGTGTATTCAAAGAAATTACAAAGCGACTTTTAGTTGATTCCCTTTCTTGCTGTGCTTTCTGTTATTTTTAGAGAAAATTTTCATATGTTTTAATCGAATTTTTGTAGACAAGAAAGAGATAATAAGCATTTTCTTATATTTTGTGATGAGTAAAATTCTTGCATAATACGTTGGATTCTTTTCCTCTTTTTTGACCACACTTGTTTTCCTTCTTTTCCCTTCTAAATTTACATATAACGACGATCTATAAAATAATCACTTTCTTTAGCTTCGTTTTTTCAAAAATTTTATCAGTTCTAGAGTTTTAGGATGGATTTTCCTAATAACAGAATTTAATTTATGATGCCATCCTTCAACAATATTATTTGTCCTGTGCAATTTTTCATTGCAATTCCACATCTGTATAGTTACGACGTCATTTTCAAGCCACTGCTCAACAAAGTAATCATAAAATGCCTCTAATCTTGCATTACGAGGTGAACTTTCTTGTATGCACAGCCAACCATCATCGACACATTCCGCGGGTATGTATGCAAGGGACGCGCACATTCTGAGATGGGTTCTAATTTCTTCATTATGCCTATATTCGTTAACAAGTCCCAAGTCTTGAATCTTTCTCCACAGACACTGATTTAAGTGGAAATTGCAACCTCTTATATTTAAGGAAGGAAAAATATTTTTCAGCGAAATTATAACTGCAATTTCAAAATCCATCACAATTTCTTTAGGATCCCAATCAGAAATATGATTTTTAATTAAACGAAATAATCTCTCATAAGTCTGCTTTCGCTTATCGGGAAGTAAGCAAAACAACACAGGAACAACATTAATCTCGTTAGAGGTACTTCCAATATCAACATGGATAGTATAAATTTGAGAGAAAAGCTTTGAGCAACTTTTAAAAGTTCCATCCATAAAGAAAGTTTTGCCGCTTTTCATTGCTTCCCTCCCCTTCTTACTTGAAAATACCAAAATTCGGCTATCTTTTCAAATCATCGAACAACAAGAAACTAAAGTTATCATCCATTGCTAATAATTCATTAGGAATTTCTAAATCTTCCATACATGTAGCTTCTCGATCGTATCCTTCGGCACTTTGCCTAGATTTGTATAGAGCTGTTTTAACACTTGAAAACTGCGGAATATTGGTTAATATGTCAAAGCCTTGATTGTATAGTTTTCCAACTTCTTCATTGTAAATTTGAGAAAGTGGAACATTTTCTTCTTTCGCTCTCATTTTTGCTACAAATATTTGTTTTTTTTACTAAAGAATGTGCTGTATCAGGTTGACATAAATGAATTTTTTTCTTCTAAAACAACTTCTTCCTTGGTCTTAATTGAGCCTTTGCAGCTTTTAGTTTTTTCATTTATGCAAATCCAATAAACTACATTTTCCTTATTTCTATTCCGAATTCGATATTGATAACCTTTGTAAAGGGCTAGAGGCTTTTTCCTTTTAGTTTCAATAATCTCTAAAACATAAATACTGATTTAGATACGAAAAATTACTAAAGATACTAAAGATTTTAAAGTGGAATGAAACCAAAGATTTCGAGAGGAGCCGAAACTAAGACATGTCTTCAGTCTAACAATGTCAAGACGATGACTAACTTCAGAAAGAAACTGCCCAACTCTTCTTAATGACTCATCCTGACATTCCCTGAGGAACTTTGGGAGGGGGACTGTACTCCCCGATTTCGCGCAAACAGGAGGATTTTTAAAAACGCGCAAACAGGAATCGCGGAAACAGAACTAAATCGTACATAACGACCTATTTTTACTTAAAAATAAATCCGAGAATGGCACAAAAATGGCACTGCGCACACGCTTGGACTTTATCTATGTACACATCGATCTATTTTCATTTAAAAAGTAAAAGGAAATTTATAGAAATCCAATTGTTTTCACTCTTGTAAAAAGCGGCAAACAAATAAGGGGGCGATTCTGCCCTTTACCGAGAATTATTTCAAAGAAAAAGCATCATTCATTATAGAAAGTTATGTTTGAACAACCAACGAGATGAAATTATGCTTTAGCGATAACTCGGTAGAGAAATAGCGATGCAGACAACCATTCAGTTATGTTTAGCAATTTTTATATAAATTATAATAATGATCTGAAATAGTTATTGACTCTTATGCTTCCATTCAGTCATGTTTAGCCTTTTTTATATAAATTATAATAATAAAAATGTATTATATGAAATTAACCTTTCATCTAAATTAAAACATCAATCTTAAATAGTTATTTACTATTATACTGGCATTAGGGTTGCCGCAATTATTTTTGGCAGCACTAGCATCAACAATAATTTGGCGATTTTTGACGGCTCTCAAAACCGAATAGTACCAAATTTTATTTCAAAAGTTAACACAGTGATATTATTTTTATTTCCTTAATGTCGTTTTCACATTTTATGTATTTGATTCTTTTAGCGTGAACTGAGAGGGAGAGCAAATGGATCACCTCGGACGGCAAAAGCTCTGGCTGTGACACTGATTTTTTTTGTGTTTGAAAATATAACAAAGTAAATTCAAAGTTATCTCTTAGGATGATCAAACATACATTTAATAACTTTACTTCGAAGTCTTCGGAGTGTTTTTCTCACCGCATTTGAATGTTTGCAGAATTAATTAAACAAAACTTTTACTGGAGATACCTATTCCTGGGGAAAATGAATTTGGGCTGATCTTCTAAATTATGCGGTATGTTATAGTTCAATTTACCTAATCGGTCTTTTAATTACTTTCAGACTTTTATAGTTTTAAAGTCTCACTACTACTGACTATTGTTTCTGAGTTTATGGTCGAAATATCTTTCATGAAAGTGAATTAAATGATCCAAAGCTAGAAATTTGCCGTATGTATTGCACCTAATATTTCATTTTTGACTGATAATTTAAAGTCTTATGATATGAGTCTTATGATTTATAACACTTGTTGCGAAATTTAATTTCATTAAACAACCTAAATCAAAATTCAGGTGCTGTGATGCAACATAAAATTCGGAAGTTTTACCCTTACCTGCCTACAAATATTTCGACAGTCGAAGATTTAACATTATTTAAACTTTTTTTAACAAAAATATGGAATTTACAGAGAAATTTATTTTGGATATTGTTAATTTAATGTTAAATTTTAACAAACATGTATATACGTAAAAAAGCAAATTTAAAGTTAAAATAATTAAAAAATGTGCAAACATATAAAAGATTTAATTTTCGAACTAATCTACAATATCATTTAAATTCAGATAGCATAAGTAAATCAAGTGCAAAACCAAACCATGAAAATATAGTCACCAATTTAGCAAATTAAAAATTAATCTAAAAAAAAAATTTAAAAATGCATAAGTGAATGACTGTTGAGCAGGCAGGAGACAGACTTATCAAGGAGAAGTTGCCTCCCAACCTAACTCTTCAATCATTCAATTCGTGTTCCGTCATTCATGCAGGCAAGGGTAAAAGCTAAAACCAAAAGTAAAGAGTGAAGAATGTCCAAAAAGAAATACCAATAAATTGGCACCTTTAGAAATTAGAAATTAAAAATTAAAGTTCTAAAAGGAAAATACTAATGAAGGTTTTTGAGAAATAAGCAATGTAAAGTATTAAATTAAACCTTTAAAAAAATAGTGAAATTTTTTAAAAAGTTAATTTTTCAGTAAAATGAATTTAGAAACCAATGCATTTTAAAAACCCTTGTCTACAGAAACCTCCCCGACACGAATATGCATATCAATAAAAAGACACTAAAAAGGAACTAGACATAATTTATAAAAAACAATAAGAAACAAAAAGAACTAATTCATAATTTATAAAAAACCAATATATACTTAAAAACATAATTTCATATTTAGAAAATACTTAAATATTACATAAAAAATACTTAAACCAAGTAAATAGTAAGTTTTAATTCTAACTTACCTACTATATTAGCGTTGGGGTCTGCAAAAGTATTTCCAAAGTGATGTAAGTGTGTTCTGCAAATTATATAGATGGCGCTTATGCAAGTAAAGTGAAGTGCCAAGGTGTTATCTTTGTTTATTAAAAAAAAAATTTTGTAAACTTTAATATTAAAATATTTAAGTAATATAAATCTAGAAAAAATTAAATACCCTAAAAGTATGTAATTCAAGTTTTAATTTTAACTGATCAACTATTTATGGTAGGGAGTTTAGTAGCTGAGCCAATCAATGTAAGTTTGCTTTGCAAATATCATAAAAAGAGTACTAATTAAATGTTAATTTAATGTTAGATAGATAAATTTCGACGATCTTCTTATGCAATAATTATTCCGGATAAGAGTAATAGAAATCTGGGATTTTATAAAGTTAGCATTAGGGCTCCTTCAGAATTCAAACTTATATTAGAATTTTGCAAATTAGTAATTTTTATGTTATGCACATTCAAAGATTAAGAAGATTGGCTCTGGCTCTCCTATGCTGTTGCTTTAGAAACTGACTTAAATAATCGTCTGAAATCAGACTAAAGTAAACCGATTTAAGTAAGTCTATTCGTTTAAACTAAATCGAGTTTTTGATTCCTTCTTTTTTTTTTTTTTTTCTTTTTTTTAAATGGAATACTTACTTTTAATAAGTCGGCAGAACCTCTCTTCACATTTAACATTTTTCGTATAAAGCCTACTTACCTAACAAAATATTTTCAGTTTGATATTGTTTGTTAAAAGGAGTGAAGCTTTTCTTTTCTTTCTTTCTTTTTTTTTTTTTTTAAATTTCTAAAGAGGCTGGCAGTACGGAGACAAATATCCTTATGCCATACAGAGATCCGAAAACTATGAAAAATGCAACAATAGTACAACAGAAATGGATAAAAGTTATATGTTAAGGTAAAAACAAAATCAAATCCAACAACCTGTTGAAAAGGTCTCTAGCCTCCCAGTATCTTGTACCTACCAGCGGCCGAGCGGTAAAAGCGCTGAACACTGGTAGCATGCCAAAATATGGTACTAAGGCAAATAACCAGCGCCGCATGGTATATCAGAAATAATCGTATACACCAGGAGTTAGGTGTGGAGCAACTTAGATCTCATTATTATAAATTAGCTAAGAATTTTCATGCAAAACAAATCACAATAGATAATCCTTGTATAAAAAATTTGTAACTATGACCATAATAACCTGGATAATATGGATAGGCCTTTGGCCCAACTGAACACCATGATTATGTAACCTTAGTATCATCTGATTACATGTACCATCATTTTACCCTAACACAGGAATCTGTGTTCCCTTGTTGGGCTCGGTGGTGGGCGGGGCCGTCGGACCCGAATTTTTTCTCTTTCAAATATGGCTTCTTTATTTATTCTTAAAAAACCCGAGTCAAATGAAATGAACCAAGATATTGAAATTGTAGACAAATCTATTAACAAGAAGATCCGTATAGATGCAAATGCCAAAGATATTGAAATTGTTGACAAAATCATTAGCAAGAAGATCTATACCGATGCAAATGCCAAAGGAAACTACTGAAAATCCACGCTTCCTCGTTGTCTCTAGTCCTTCTGGTGAACTGCAAAAGATGTCTCCTTTTCTCGTAAGCAAATACATTCAATCGTGCATAGGTAAGCCAAAGAACATAAAGCGTCTCCGATCAGGAGACCTGCTTATTGATACCATATCCGCCACCCAGTCTGCTTCTCTTTCCCGACAAACCAAATTTGGAGAAATATCTATAACTGTGTCAGCGCACAAAACACTTAATTCTTGTAGAGGTGTGATCTCGGAGATCGACCTTCTGTGTGTCTCAGAAGAAGAGTTCGTCTCCGAGTTAGCTGACCAAAATGTCTGTGGTGCTAGGCGGATCAAGATGCGAAAGGAAGGTCATTTGACTGACACGAAACACGTGATCCTGACCTTCAACACGCCTGATCTGCCTAAGAATATTAAGGCCGGATATC